TTCCATCGATTCGTTCGCGAGGTACGGGCGTGTTGCGTGGCTGTTTTGCCTCGCGGAGGTGGCGAATTTGAATTAGCGTGGCGGCGAATACCGCCGACGGTGAAACGCAACAGAGAGAAAGAAAGAAACAAGGAAAGAGAGAGAGAGATCCTGTTGCGTGGTAAAAGCAGAAAGTAGGTAAATGGGCTCTCGCGTGACGCCAACAACGTCAAAACGAGCCTTGTAATCGCATCGTCTCGTCGAACATTGCAAATGCACGGTAGGATATTGACCGATTTGTGAACGGGGAGTTCGAAAGGCGAATTCGCGTCTTTCAGTTTTCAACCTTTGTCAACGCGAGACGAGAAATTCTCGTGTTTCAACGTTGCGAACGTAGGAACGCTTTTTTTTTTTTGAGTTGTAGGCGACACGACCCAGGCAAAGTTATATATAATTTACATTCGCAAATAATAATTTACATACGTATAATTTACATACGTAATATTACGTATAATTTACATTACGTAATATTACATGTAATATATAATTATATATTACAACGTTATATGATTTTTCAAGAAGTAGGGAAATTGTTTCCTAACATACCGCACCAAGAAACGTCGCTAGAAATATTTTCATTCTATTTAATAAAATATCCTACCTGCGAAACGAAGAATAATTAATAATTTCAACTGTTGATAAAATAATACACTTAACTTGTTGAACGCTATACATTCTCCCGAGCCCTTTCAATCATATATTAAATAATTCAAGAAATACGAGAAAATACCGGCTACACACATTTATCAGAGCCATACCTCAATGCGTTAATATAAATATAAAATAAACAATAGTTAAAATCGAAAATACACAATATATAGATTCTCAAACATTATTATAGAAAATATATTGTACATAGTAATATTAAATATTAATAGTAATATTGTATATCGTAATAGTAATAGTAATATTGTAATAGTAATATTGTAATAGTAATATTAAATATTAATAGTAATATTGTATATCGTAATAGTAATAATAATATTGTAAAAATAATATTGTAATAGTAATATTGTAAATAGTAATAGTAATATTGTATATCGTAATAGTAATAGTAATATTGTAAAAGTAATATTGTAAATACTAATATTGTAAATAGTAATATTGTATATAGTAATAGTAATATTGTAAATAGTAATAGTAATATTGTATATAGTAATAGTAATATTGTATATAGTAATAGTAATATTATAAATAGTAATATTGTAAATAGTAATAGTAATATTGTAAATAGTAATAGTAATATTGTATATAGTAATATTGTTAATAGTAATATTGTATATAGTAATATTGTTAATAATAATATTGTATATGGTAATATTAAATATAGTAATATTTATGAATATTTTATCAATGTGAATTAAAGAAGTGCATATATATGTATTGTACGAAGTTTCCCTATTGTTCTCCAAAAATGTGCCGGCCCTGGAAGCTTTCTCGCTGAGGGGAGAAACACTGAGAAACGAGAGAAATTAAACTCGGAAAAGAAATCGTTTCGTACTGTTTGCTCGTTCTAATTTTCTCTAATCCCGAATAATCTGCCAGGTCGTTTCTGAATTTTTATAAGCACGAATTTTTATACAGTTACATAATCTCATGATCGAAGACGGGGAGGGGGGGGGGGAGGGGGCAAAGACAGGATCATCCAAGCAGAAAGTAGATCTTCTTCACAAAGTCCACGGCAAAGCTGTTCGAATCGACAATTTCCTATTGACTTGATTCCGCGATCAACTCGATAATCTCTCCCTCGATTAAACGAGAAATCGCGTTATCCGATCGACGATCGTCAGAAATGCGTTCGCCCCCCCCCCCCCTCCCCCTTGTCTGGAAATTGAAAATCAAGCGTAAAATCAAGCTCGAGACGGTTACACGGTACGTGCAGGCAAAATACACACACACACACACACACATACACACGTATGTGCATACTAATCGAGGGAGAGGTAGTAAGTTCTGTAATCAGTTCGTGCGACCGTGTTAGAAGTTAGTTCTAATTAGTATTCCGCGCGACGGTATCGCGGGACGCTTTAGGTAAAGGAAAGTTTAGCTTTCCTTAACGACGCTGCCTCCAAAGGGGGGGGGGGGCGCAGGGGGGTCACGCCGTATAAAATCTGCAATTACCGACGGAGGAGGAGGGGGGGGGCACGGTCGCGAACCCGTGTCAATCCCCCCCCCCCCCGGCGCTGCACTTTATTGCACGCGATACAAAGAGCGGCAACGTAATAACATAAAGTATGCAGTTTAATTAGGATCCTGTGCCAGCGCGCGCCCCCTCCCCCTCCCACGCCTCCTCTATTAAGCCATTTGCATGTAAACCTGGACCAGGAGAGCCAGCCGCTGCCCCTCTCTAATGGCAACGTAATTTCGCGCGCGGCGAATAAATGTTCCGCGGGGTTTTCTGCCAAAGTTTCGCGCCGCGTTTCGAACCTTCGTTTTTCCCGCGCTCGCGAAACACGGCGCAGAGGAAGAGCGTAACTCCGAACGAGCGAATCCAACGACCAGTGAAAAATTGTCGACAATTTGAAGCGACTGTCGCTCGGCGAAAGAAGGTCACGCGGCGAGATCACGGCTTGATCTTTACTTCGAAGCGTGAAAGTTCTATCTTGTCACTCGTAGGTTTGGTTCTTTTTTTTTTTTTTTTTTGATTCGTGGCGGGTAACTTTTTAGAAATGATTAGTAGACGCGCGTGTGAAAAAGTTTGGAAATTCTTTCCGCGATCCTGGATCCACCCATCAGTTGAAGGGAGAATTATTAAATTTAGTAAATTTTAAATTTAAATTTAAATTTAAAATTTAATAAAATTTAATAAATTGTGAAAGAACTTTAATCTGAGAAATGGATCCACCACCTCCCTTTACAACCTACTCTCAATATACTCTCAATAATATACTTTTTATTTTGTTAAACATCGGATTAACCGAGAAAATTTCCAGCAAATTCTAACGTTTGTATTATTCAAAGTTTATACTTTAACGTTTATATTATTCACTCGATAAAGCGGTGAAAAAGGAATCGTGTGCAGTGATTGTTGCAAAGTGAGAATCTTGAATCTTCAAGACGATGGTAGATTTAGTTGCCAAAAAAAAAAAAAAAACACACACACACCCCCTAGTTTTTGTATTTGCAAGCTTTGACATTTTAGTGCAAATATCTTTCAACATTTTATAAACGGTCCCTTCGTTAGCGGTAAATGGTAAAGTATCACCGTTTGAATATAACCACCGTCTATCTATCTATCTACTTTATATTCACGTACGATAGCTGCTCGCTATCTCAACAATGAACAGATGGGCATATTACGGTGTTTAGTACAACTGGGAACACGTGGGGCGCGAGGGAACAGCATTGCATCGTAACAACGTAACAAAACAATTACATAAGGTGACACGAAACATGTTAGATACGAAGCAAGAACCGGAAATTTAATGTCAGTACTGATGGTACGGAATAGTGGGTATCATATCTATGTATGTAGCTCCTGGTGTTTAGCATAATCTTCTTCGTTTTCTTTTTCATATATATATATATAATCGTAATTTAATATAATATATATATATATATATATATATATTAATTTAATATAACTATATATATATTACATTTATTATATATATAATATATTAAATATATAAATATATAAAAAATATATATAATTAAATAAATTATGTATATATAATTAAATAAATTAAATATATTAAATTTATTATGTATATGTATTAATTTTATATATATATATATATATATATTCTCTTCGTGTGAACAGCTCTATTATTCTTGAACAAAAAAGAAAAATAGCAGGAGGCTATAAATAAACATAAACTCGTCTAAAAGCAAACACAGATACCTGTCTAAGTCCTAGAAAGAAGCTAAAAAGATAGCGGGGTAATAGCAGTTCCGGTGGCAACAGAACTGTCGGTCGAATGATGCAGGTGCCATCCACTTGGGGTAAAGGTAGGTTAGTACTCGTTCGACGGCAAAAGAAGGTGAAGTCAGTGAAAGTCGTGGAAACGACAAACGATGCAAGCATTGTAAAAGAAAAATGAAGAATTGCATTCTTACGAAGAAAAATACAAATTCTATACCGAATGGAGCTATCTCAAAATAGTGAGAATCTATTGCAAGCACAAGCAAACGATATAAAATGTTAAATAAAGAATTAAATTATAAATATAAAAATATAAAAATAAAGTTAAATATAAAAATATAAAAATTAGGTTAAATATAAAAATAAAGAATTACATTCTTACAGGAGAGAATCATAAATTGTATATCAAATGGAGCTGTTTGTAAATCGATCTCAAAATAGAGATGTAGAGAATCTAATTGCAAGCAAATATAAAGATACAAGTTATAAAAAAAAAAATAAAGAATTCTTGCGGGAAAGAATGTCTTAAGCGCTGGCAACTGACTGCGGACCGTAACGAGTGACCAAACCGTATACAATTCGTCGCCTTCTTCTTGAACTTGTCGATATTTCACTTAAATGTAACTTAAATATTTGCTTAGGTACAAAAAAAAAAAATTAACTTTTAAATAAATTAAATATTTACCTAAATTCTACTTAAATACACTTAAAACTGAGAAAACATAAATATACAAAAAAAGATTCCCGACGTGCGCAAGAGATTGAAAAACAGAAAAATGTAAGAGTCCAGGTAGAAGCAAACGATACAAGTATCGAAAAAAGAAAAAAAAAAAAAAAACAAAATATACATTCCTACGGGAAAGGATACAAAATTTTACATCGAGTGAAGCTTCATCCGAAAACAAATAGATGGTAAGAGTCGACAGGTCACCACTAATTCGCATATTCGATCGTAATCAACGTGTACTTCAACTTTTGCTATAAATTTCAGCTACGAACAAAAACCAGCGGAATTCCCCGCTTAAAACGTCTCAAACCGCTCAAACGTCTTCAGCCTCTCTCTCTCTCTCTCTCTGTATAATGACGTTTCACTCACCTTCTCTCGCTTTCAGGTACACAGTGTTCGCCACGATGTTCTCCAACTCCATCAATTCCAGCTTGATCGAGTTTACGCGGCCGAGTCGACGGAGAGAAGCCTGGCGGGCGACGAGCAGGAGGGGGGAGAACGTGGGCGACGAGCGGAAGTCCGGACGGCTGGTACGGTTTTCCGGGGTTGATCACCCTGTCGGGCACCGGCAGGCCAGCTCCCATCTGCGGCCCCAGGACACCACCAGGGCCGGTCGGTCCCCCCTCGACGAGGACCAAGGACAACAGGAAGGACGTCTTTTACAAGCTGCTGGACCAGTTGCTCGAGCCGAGCCAACGAGAGAGATGTTTTCGAGGTTCGAGGTCGTCCCGCGCCGTTTCGCGCTGACACCACCTATCGGGAGAGTCGGCTCGGGTTCGTTGGCCCCCTCTGCCGGTCAAAAACCGACGTTTCCCGCCACAGAATCTATATACACGTGTATATGTATGTGCGTGTGTGTGTGTGTGTGTGCGTGCGTGCGCAAACGGGTTGCACGAAACCGGACTTTTCACTCGTATCCCGTGTCGATTTCCTTGATTCACGGTGCACGAACCCAGGGTCAAGGATGCCTCTTTCTCTTTTTCTCTCAGGAGGAACACCTGAACTCTTCCTCTCTTCCGTTATTGTGGATCTAGACGCGTGTCCGCATGGCGATCTTCTCTCTCTCTCTCTCTCTCTCTCTTTTTCTGTGTTCGCGACGAATAAGTCTACTCTCCGTTGCTCTTTCACCCTGTGACTGAACAACGTTACAGCTCGGATCAGGATGCCACTCTCGCGTCCCTCCCTCTCACTCTCTATCTCCAACAGAGAGTTCCGTGCCGGCCGTGTCCCCTTTTAAATATCAAACGGGAGAGGAGATCGCGCGCGAGAAGAGACACCGTTGTGTCGCAACGGCGCGTTAACGCGCCATCGTAAAAATGTCACGCGTGGTCTCGGCGCGTGCACGTAGCAGCCAGCAGCGCCTTTCACTTTAACGATCGCGCGGGAGATGCCTGCGCATCCGCTGGGATTCCTCTTTCAACTTCGCGCGGCTTCGATCGTCGCTCTTCGATCGTCGTCGTCGAATTCTGCCTCGAGAACACACATCCACCGTCGTTTCTTCCTTTCTTTCTATAGTTTCTTTCTATTGCTAGTTTAATACAAAATGCATCGGCTGCTGACTGCCACCAGATATACAATAGCACAAAGTCTCTCTCACTTTTTCCTCTGTGTATTAGAAACACAAATTTGACGGAAGTCGAGAGTCGTTTTCTATTTGTAAATCTCCCTCCGTGCGGACGAGTCGCTCCGTTTAATGTATTCCTCCTTGCATCGATCTCCCCGATGTGCACGTTCTGAAACGAAGATTTCACATGTTAGCAACATGAAAGGATCCGTGGGACGTACACAGAGCGGCACACACAGTTGAACCGTGTTGGAAATTTTGAAATTTCCGTCGCGAACGAGAATTTTTTCATACACTGTATTCTAACAACAAAGCAACTCGTCGATTCTAATTTTTTTTTTTTTTTCTTTTAGCATAAGAGAACTACAACGAACACTCGTTTGATTCAGATACAATAGGTTAGAAAAATAACATGCGTAAGAGAAGCACCCTTGTACACCCTTTTACGATAGAAACAAACACAATAAGTGTTTTTAGTTTGTGTTATCGAGTCGCCGTGGTTTTGTTTTTTTCAGTCCTCGTATGTTGTGATTCTAATGAAAACAAACAAGTGAGAATTTTCATCGTCGTCTCTGTATATCTGAGAGCGACAAGTTTGGTCCATTGGCGCGCGATTCGGCGAGGAAAATGGTTGTTTGGGATCGGGAACGGGGGAAATATCTCGATATCGTCGGTCGTTCGTTTGAATTTTAAAAAAATTTCACATATGCGTGGACGATGCCGGCAGGTGCGGTGATAAAGATAACGAGACGCGACTAACCGCACCGTCGGCGTAATATCCGACGCGGTAATTTAATAACTCTTTCCCAAGGCTCGATTCCCCCTATCCCACAGATTTAGCCGAATCGGGAATTCACATTCAGACATTCTCGAATAACTCATGGAAAAAAGATGTCGCAATAAATAAGTTTGACATAAATTTACAAATATTCCTCTATTATATAAAAAAAGAAAAATATTCCGCAATGAAATAAACGTTTCATAATAAAAAGATATTATATGAATAATAATAATATAATTTTTAATAATAAAAAGAT